CAATATACGAAGAAGTTAAAATCTGCATTACTGCTGGAAACCAAAAGATGCCCTACTCATCACTGTAAAGTGCAAAGTCCATGGTATATCCATTAAAATAACATCATTAATTATATTTAAGTCCTTTTGGTTGCTTGCGTAAAGACAAAAACATGGATAGAGAATATTTTAATAATACAATCAACAAGAATATCTTAATAGTGAAGAACGAGCTTTGTACCCTAAACAGAGAATAAACCCAATTTTCAAGTATTTGTGGGGTACTGGCTGACATGATCTTTTTCATTAGGCCACAAAGGTGAATCTCGGCAAATTTCAAAGCAGAAATTATGCAGATCTATTCTTTGATCAGAATGCAATGAATAGTAGATTAAGTAAAATCCAATAGGACATCTTAAAAAAGAAAAAATTAATACATTTTTTAATCAAACAGTACAAAGTGGCCATAGTTTACAGATTATGAAATAACTTCCTAACTGTGTGTATGAGATGTGGCCAAAGAAGTGCTCAATGATAAATTCATAGCCTTATTTCTTTCCATTAGATAAAAAGAATGAAAGCGAATGAACTAAACATTTGACTTAAGACTTTGGAAAAGAAACAAAAACTACAGAAAACAAAGGAGAACAGGTGATAAAGTAACAGCCATGTACAAGCAGAAATTAGTAAGTTAGAATACCTATACCACAAATGATAGAATTAAAAAAAAAAGTCAATAGTTGGTCTTATAAATATTTATAGAGTAGTCCAATCAGTGACATTTGAATTTTAAGAGGAAAAGAAAGGCACAAACATACAAAATTAGGAAGATAAAGTAGTTATAACAACAGGTTCAAAGGTTAATAAAAATGAAATAATATATAATTATGGAATTACATCTAAAAATCTTAAGGAAAATGATAGGAACATATTAATTACCAAATTTGAAGAATTAGAAAATCTGAATATAGCCACAACTAGGAAATTTAAGTCATTGTAAAATTATGGTTATACTCTTTTAGTCTTGGAAGGGATACAGTTTCCACATTTTTATAATATGTTCCAGTAAGAGAAAAATCAGATTATTTTAGGAAGTTATTTTAATACTAGGATCACAGCCTGGCGATGTTAGCATGAAAGAAAAGTGCATACATAGTTGTAGAACATAGGTTTAAAAGATCCTAAATGAAACATTAGCAATTGACTGCAATATAGTAAAATAATAATGATTGAATAGAAGGAATTATATTAATGTAACACATCAGGAAAACTTTTCTTGCAGCAGACACCCAAAGCCATTTGAAATAGGACACTTGTGAAAACAGAGGTTATAAGGGGTGCCCATGTGTGACTTAGTCTAGGCGTGGACACAGTGATTATGCTTTGAGTACCAGTGGTTACAAAACATGTAATCTTGAAGCCTGGGGAGACCAAATTTGGTCACCGCCATGACTCAAGCAGGCACCTGAAACTAGGAGAATATCGACACAGCAGTAACACATCTGTGCGGGACCAAGGACAGAATTTCTCATCAAGCATCACAGCAGTGGTGGAGTTGACAGACTTCCCAGGCTCCTCTATGGTTAGTTTGAAAGCTGCTCTGACTTCCTTTGGACTGAGTCATTTGAAGGTTTGAAAAATCAATCCAAGATGAATGGAGAGGGAGCCTTAAATTGGAGAGCTAAACTTCCTGCCAATAACATAGTAGGAGCAATCGTTAAAAGACAGGGAGAGGTGACAGTTTTTGTATCTGGGTTTTATCAGAGAAGTTCATACCATATTTAACACGGGTGGGAATGTAATGAATTTGTGAAATTGGCAGCGCAATCTCATTAGTAAATATAAGGGTCTTTTTTTAGCAATAATATTATACCTCCATTAGAATAATATCAGAAAATGGAATTTAATGGCATAGTAAGAAAATACTTCATGATGATTTAGTAAGATTTATTTCCAAGATGCAAAAATTGGTAGAGGTTCAAGGAGAATTTTGCTTTATAGATTTAATTGTTTCTTCCTTTCAGGCTAGTTTTATTTTGTTATTCGTTGTTTACTGCTTCTGATCTATTTGCTCTCATCTTCCCTAGAGTAACATCAGTAATTTCTTTGTATCCAAATGATCGGTTTGGGTCCCCTGTTTTTTCCCTCTTTCTTTCTTTTTTTTTTTTAATCTTTTTCTCGTTTCATAATTTTCTCTCTTTATCCTTCTCCTCTGAACATCAGGGGGGTCTTATTCACTCATTCATCCAAACATTAATGTATTTATTAAATGAACATTGATTACTAGGTTTCAAGGATACTGTGACAAGTCTCTGTGTTAAAATATGCAACTGTGAAACAATTAGCAAACAGATTATTACAATAAAATATAAAGAGTGTTATGAGAGTGGTGAGAACAGGATGTTCATGTGAAGCCAGGGGCAGCCCAAGTCCAGGCTTTAGGCATCCTAGGGTGGTTTTCTAGAGTAACTTTAAGTTAAATATAAAGGGTGAGTAGGCGATGCCCCACAGAAGGTGTATGTGTGTGTGCGGCACAGGGGAAGGGAGTGGGGGGTATCGGGGAGGGGAGGTGATATTCCACAAAAGAGAAATGATATGTGTCAGAGCCCGGATCAAGCAGTTGCAGTGCTTTTCTGAAAGTATACCAAGTTTGATTGTTGAGTTGGGGAATGTCTGACGGTAAGGCTGCAGATACCAGGTCTAGGTCATCAAATACCTTGTATGCCAACTTTAGTAATTTGGACTCTGCCCTGCAGTACATGGAGAAAACCATCAGAGAGTTTTAAACAGTGGAGTAGCATGATCAGCTTTTTGCTTTAGAAAAATCGCCTGGCTGCAGCCTGACTTCCACAGTGGCTGATTTCAGGCTAGCAAGGTGAAGCCCCAAATGCAAAGTTCAGTAACACTGTTACATAGGACTAAAGGGAAAATCTGAAAAGTTTCTATGTAGACAGACAGAATAAATTACATACAGGAAAAAATAACTACACTCATATGAGACTACCCATTTCCGGGGGAGGGTATAGCTCAAATGGTAGAGTGTATGCCTAGCATGAACAAGGTCCTGGGTTCGATCCCCAGCACCTCCATTAAAAATAGATAAATGAAACTTAATTACCCACCCCCAAAATATTCTCCCTGTTCTCCCTGACTACCCATTTCTAAAACTAGAAGCTAAAACAGAGTAAGATCAGATTTATAGACTACTGAGAGGAAAGACGTGTCATTCAAGAATTCCATATCCGGCTACCATAGCATTCAACTATCCAAGTAAAAGAAAGCTATTCTGAAGATAGGCAAGGATTCAGAGACTATGTCACCCAAGAACCCATCTGTGGAAACACGTAAAATATGTGCGGTTCTACAGAGACCAGGAATTCAGGAATAGTGAATTGCTTGCTAAGGAGACAAATGATATAAACAGTCTAAAGGCATCACATGCTCAAAAAGATACTTCATTTCAGCGAAAGAAATTATAGAAACGAAAACCACTAAAACTGTTCAAGAAGTTTTGCAAAACCAAAACCAAAAAACAAGCAGTTATGCCAAAGGTAAACTAATGATTAAAAAAAAATCTTCCATCACCCTACAAAGTGAACTGTAATATCCTTTAGCATTTATTCAGACATCAAGAAACTCTTCAAGAAATATTTGTGGACTTTTCCCATTGCCATAGACTATGGGACACCGGACCTAGTAAGTAAGGATGCCTTCTCTGCTCAACTACCAGCCTACCTGAAGAGCTAGAGCCAGTTTCTTTAATAATAACTGCATTTAACTCAGGGAGCATATCTTCAGCCATGCCTCACCAGATGAAATGATTAGTTTTAGGACATTTGGAGTTCATTTTCTTACATATACCAAAGATTTCCTGAAACTGTTTACTGGTGTATGCTGCTAACAATTCCTTCCAGTCAGTCAGTGTACAAGGCAGAAATATGGATGCTTTTGTGGTGTTAGTCCTGTCTAATCTTGGACTGAAGGTCAGCACCTTGCATATGGTAAACCCTCAGTGAACCCTTGAATGGATGAATGAGTAAACAATCAAAGATGACAAAGATCGCAGTCATCAATTACAAGTCCAAAGTAAACTTCAGCTGCTTATATGACAAAGAAGGGAAACATTTCTTTTTCATTCTTTCAAGTTGGGAATAACAATTTGATAGACTTCCAGAATAATAGATTTCTAGAGTTTTCCATAACTGCTCTTGTTTACCAGCTCTGAGCAATTCAGTTGTGACCAGTAGCATCCTTTCTTTGAATACTTTAAATCTTAGCCCTTCAAGTAGGCTGGTAAAATCAAGTCCTGGCACTTGGCCAAGAACAGAGGCAATTAGGGGTGGAATATCTATCCCAGAAAATGAATATGATTTGACCCTTAAAACATGGCAAATCAGAGGAAATTAATTGACATGAAAACATTTCCTAATTTCATTCTGAAGATTTCTGCATTCTGGTAGGTTTAAAGCACCATCTGATACAGATTCGTTTCTAGGACATCACTTTTCATGCAACCTTCTTTGATTCTTTCCTAGGGATTTTGAGATAACCCTTTTAAAACCATTTGATTTGACACTGTAAACTTTATACTGCGTATTAGCTGTCTTAAAAAACACCTATCTTCCAAAAGAAGGATCTGTTGTCACAAATGAAGACCATGAATTGGCTCAGTGAAGAAATAAATGTTTGTTTTCATCTAGAAAGAATGAAGTGACACAAAAATCATGAATGCAAAATCAAAAGGTGATATTTTAAAGTGGCTTATTTCATAGCCATAGAAGGGATAAAGCACCTTAATAACCTTGTGTCATTCACTAACTATGGCGCTGTCCATGGCCTAATTAGAAGGTATAAACTGGGGTCTCCAGCGATCTTCCTTCATGTTAGACCCCGGATGAGCACAGTGAAAAACCCGGACATCCCGCTGTTCCGGACATCATGAAGTATGGGTGTCAATACGCATGCATGAATCCAGTTACATACACAGAAGGTTTCAAGGGCACAAAGAAAATTACTTACTTGTTAGGTTTTCTTTTTTATAATCTGAAGGGGAAAGGATAAAAATTTGTTTTAAATGAACATTCAGATAGCTCATATGTTCTGTGAGAGAGCGCTAAGAAATGCAAGTTCTCTTTCAGCTTTTTAATATACAGCGGGAGAACATTCTTGGCATTCGAATGCACAAGGATGGCGTCTTTGAAATTAAACCAGCTGTTAGGGTTAACGAAGACATAGTTCCTGACAAACGAAGTTCATTAAAGCAACATGCAATGATTCAGCTTTGTTTTGCGAGATCAGCATTTTCAAACGTGGCTTATTTTTGCATGCTGCAAAATCTGCTTCATTGGCTAAGAAAGAGGACTTTTCTTCCTTTATTCCACTCCTCTGACAAAATATGAGATGTTTCTTAGCCATTTCTCTGCACATTCCGGAAAATGTTATAAGCTCTCAAAAGATCCTCTTAGGAAGTAAGGTAAGATCTCAAGCAGCTGTTAAAAGTGCTCTTTAATTTCTTTTAGAACAAATGGAATAAATCCTTATGCTAACCGGTGCATTAGGATAGCAGTAGGATTCTGTTATTAGGTATGGAAGGAAGGCAGAACTCAAAAAAAAAAAAAAAGGAGAGAGAAAGAAAGAAAGAAATGCCTAGAAATATTAGGAGACTTAAATTCACACTGTAGTTTCCTCAAAATAGTAAGTTTCGCTTAACCTCCAAAGTCTCGCAAGAACTCTTACCTGAATACGGCAGTCTGGTACAGGCCGCAGGGTCCCAGTGCATGCTGGGCAGTCTGTCGCACTCTAGCACAGAGAACAGATGCATCCCAGATCTGTAGAGTCCCCTGTGGGCTTTTTCTTCCATCGCCAGCCATTCTTTTGCACAGAAGAGCTCCTTCACTGCCAGGCAGTATTCTCTAGAATATTTTATGGAGAACAAAATTTGATAAATTATAGCATGTTGAAGCCAAATTTGTGGTGGAACCTAAATCCTGTATTTTCAAAACATCTTCACAATACATTGTCTGCTCCTGATAAAGTGTTTTTGTAAACATCCTTTTCGTGTAAATAATGTGAGACTTTATGTGAGAGTATTCCTGTGAAATACTCTCTTATTTTGTTTTTAAAACATAATTAATGCTCCTGGGGGAAAGGATTTTCAAGTTCAAAAGTTACCAGATTAGGAATCCCAGATATGTTTTCTCTCAAGTTCATATTAAAATAATGACAAAGGTACAGAAACAAGTGACACAGAGTTTTAAAAGCACACATA